TTGTGGCTCACAATACTAGCTGTAATCTCTTTTAACTTAATAGTATTTGTTGGAGTATAGTATATGAGGTTTGTTTTTTTTTTTAACTTGTAAGGCAATGAAGAAGAGAAAGCTCTAAGGAGGATGGGATGAATCTCTGAAGATAAAAGACAAGGAGAAAGATGGAGACATCGAAGAAGGGGCAGAAAACAAGAAAAAGGTAAGGTGATTACCCATTCTGGAAAAGTAAACAGCTTGATACAATTAAGAACCAGGAAGCAGCTTAAGGATCTTGGGGAGCCCGGGAAATGGTGATGACAGTGGATCCTGGTATGAGCTTACCAGAGACTGTAGGGAGAGCAGAGAGGGGCTGTGGCTCCCCCTGGACACAGGAGAAGGGCTTTCTCTCAGGCACCAAGACTGGAGGACTGCTGTTTGAGCTCTGAACATGGTTTAAATAGTTCTTTTGTCCCAGGTTTCTAGAATCTTGACTTAATTAGCACACATACAAACACGCTGGGTTCTTCTCAAACTAAGATAATGCTGCGAGGACTCTGAAAAGCCTGGTGTCTGCCTTCAGTATTTTTGGAAAGGAATACTCATTCCAGAACCAACATCCAATGGACTTCAGTGTATCCATGGCTTAGGCTTTCCATCACTTCACTTTATGTTACATGCCATCCTTGGAAAACCACCTTGTCAAATGCCCGTCATAAGGCATGGACAAATTCTAGGTGTTATATGACATCCTCTGAGTAATAGGGTATAATTCACAATATGTCTCTTACTCATTTTCAAGTCAGTTCTGTTGAATGAAGGGGCAAAGAGTAGTATACATTTTAGATACTATTTTTTAAAAACTATCAGAGAATCTTTTCTGAGAGCAAACAATGGCAAGTGTCACTGAGCACCAAGATCTAGGAACAAGCACATGGAATTGATAGGGGGCCTAATGTTCTGCTCAGTGAGAGCCAGCAAATCACAAAAATGTTCTTTTAACATATGTCCGCCCCAAAACCATGACATTCACGTCAAACGTCTCACTTCTCTTTATTTCATTTGGCTCAAAAACAAAATTGGCAGTCTTATTCACCACTGAAGATTAACTTCTAATGGAGTCGTTAAAGTACATAGATGCATATGAAGCATTTGCCATTGTTTTAGAAACCAGAACCTGAAAGATTAAGAGAGAAATTGGCACAGATGTTCCAAATACTTAGAGTGAGACTGAAAATTACGTTCTTAAAAGCCCCTTTCAGTTTAAGTAAAAATAATAAAACAAGCATTTACAAAGAAAATACAGCCCTAGCCGGTTTTGCTCAGTGGGTAGAGATCCGGCCTCTAGACTGAAGGGTCCCAGGTTCGATTCCGGTCAAGGGCACATGCCTGGGTTGCAGCTCAATCCCCAGTAGGGGGTGTGCAGGAGGCAGCCAATCAATGATTCTCTCTTATCATTGATGTTTTTATCTTCCCCTCTCCCTTTCTCTCTGAAGTCAATAAAAATATATTTTAAAAAAAGAAAATAGAAAGCCCAAAGAACCACTAGCAAAATTAGCAAGAGTTTTGACGGAATAAATAGAAGCATGTTAATAGCTTTTGGGTAAAGTTATAACCTTAATGAATGAAGAAACAAAGAAGATATCTTACATGTTGTGGATATATGTAAGAAAATAATGATCACTATTATTCACATGTTCTAACCATATAAACAATGAATACTAATAAGCAATTCAGTCCTTTGACCCACAAGGTAACTATATTGGTCAAGGTAACTCTCCAGAAGTTTAACAAGGAAGCACTGGTGCTAATTCATTAAGCATTGCTGCCCCTGGTCTGGAGGTGAAAGCATACTTTCCACAATTCCTCACCCTCCCCTGGGGGCCTCCGGAAATTCTTATCCCAGTCGCACCCCAAGAGCTCCACTTCCACCAGTAATCAGTGGGGACACAGCACCCCACCAATAACAATATGACTCCACCAAAAATCTGTTAGAACTAATAAACAAATTCAGTAAAGTTGCAGAATAAAAAATCAACAAAAATCTGTTGCTATTCCGTACACTAAAACAAACTATAAAAAAGAAAAATTAAGAAAACAATTGCCTTTACAACTTCATCAAAGAATATAAAATACTAAGAAATAAATTTAACCAAGGAGGTAAAAGACCTGTATACCAAAAACTATAAGACACTAAGAAGGGAAATTGAAGAAGACACACATTAATGGAAAGATATTTTATAATCATGGATTAGAAGAATTGATATTGCTAAAATGTCCATTATGCCCAAAACAAACTATAGATTTAATGCATTTCCTATCAAAAGGCCAATGACACTTTTCATAGATATATAACAAGCCATCCTAAAATTTGTATGTAACCACAAAAGACCCCATGTAGCCAAAGCAATCCTGAGAAAGAACAACAAAGCTGGAGGCATCGTGCTCCCTGATTTCAAACTATTAACCAAATTTTATGGTATTAACATAAAAATAGAAACACAGATTAATGGAACAGAATAGAGAAGCCAGAAATAAAACCACACATTATAATCAATTAATTTATGACAAAGGAACCAAGACTATACAACTGCGAAAGGATAGTCTCTTCAATAAATAGTGTTAGGAAGACTGGAGAGCCACATGCAAAAGAATGAAACCTGACCACTACCTTACCCCATTCACAAAAATTAACATGGATTAAAGACTTGAACCTGAAATCAAAAACCTGAAGAAAAATTAGGAAGGCAATCTTGCCATTTGCTACAATATGGATGGACCTCGAGGATATCATGTTGAGTGAAATAATTCCTAGAAAGAGTAATGCCATATGCTCTTACTTACACATGGAATCTAATAAAAATAAAGAAACAAAACCCATAAATATAGAAAACAGATTGGTAGTGTCTGGAGATGGAGTGGGGAGGGAGTGGGCAAAATAGGTTAAGATGGTCAAACGATACAAAGTTCCAGCTATAAGATATATTAAGTCATGGGGATGTAATGTACAGCATGCATTGTACATTGAAAGTTGTAAGAAAGCAACCCTTAAAAGTTTTCATCACAAGAAAAAATATGTGTAACTATATTGGTGATGGATGTTAACTAGACTTATTGTGGTGGTTATTTTGCAATATTTACAAATATCAAATCATTGTGTTGTACATATGAAACTATATATGTTATATTTCAATTGTTTAATTAAAAAAAAGAAAATTTAGAAGCTTTTCTGCCAAGTGATAACATTAAAGTGACAATACACACACAAAGAAAAAGAAAGAAAGGAAGAAAGAAAGAGAGAGAGAGAAAGAGAGAGAGAGAGAGAGAGAGAGAGAGAGAGAGAGAGAGAAGAAAAGAAAAGAAAAAAAAAGAAAAGGAAAGGAAAGAAAAGAAAAGAAAAGAAAAGAAAAGAAAAGAAAAGAAAAGAAAAGAAAAGGAAAGAAAAGAAAAGCCAAAGGAGACAGATACCAGAACATTTGTTAAACTGTTCTTGGCTAGCAAATAAAAACTGAGATAAACTAAATCTATATGAAGAGGAGAATCTAGTATTATAATGGGGTACAGTTACACAGTGAAATACTATACGGATAATAAAAAGGATCAAATAAATCCACATTGGTAAAACAACAATAAAAAGGTAAATCTTTGGACTCGTTGTGGGAGACTTCTGCCAGATTAAGCAGTCTCACCTTATCTCTAGACAACTGGAAATCATTGACTTGTTTCAGCGAGGCACTGACACAATACCAGTCATTTTAAGAAGATTGATCTGGGAACTAACTGTAATCATGATGGATTAAAAATAAGTAATTTTAGAAGTAAATTCCATTAAAAAGCTACCGCAATAGCCCAGGCACAAAATAATTATGATCTTGAGTTCAAGTGGTCATAATTGGAATGGAAAGGGACAGATGCAGTATCGCAAAGAAAGGCATGGCAAAACTTGGGGACTGAAAAGAAAAGGGGCACGTTATACGATGAATTTTGTTTCTACCCCCCAAAATTCATATGTTGAAACCTTAACCTCCACTGTGATGGAATTTGGAGATGGAAGTCTTTGGGAGGTAATCAGGATTAGGTAAGGTCATGAAAGTGAGGCCTTATAAAAAAGACTAGAGAACTCTATTTCCCCCCTCCCTCAACCCCTTCACACACAAGAGGTCACATGAGCACGAGATGTCTGCCAGAAGTCTCATAATGAAACCATGTTACCAGCACCTTGATCTTAGATTTTTCAGCCTTCAGAATTGTGAGAAATAAATTTAAATTTCTGTTGTTTAAGCCACTCTGTTCATACTATTTACTAGTATTATGACAGCTTGAGCTAAGACTGGTGGGGTCAAAATAAAATTGATTTTTAATCTGGATTCATGAAAAAATGATAATAATTCTGAGAAACAGCAAGGTAACAAGAGGATCTAGTTTGAGGAGATACCAATCTAAACCCACATAATTAGGTCAACGTTAGCTGTCCCGAGGTCATGCAGATCAAGTGGGGGCTATATACCTTGTAGATATAAAAACAAATTTAACTGAACATAAAATGATAATGCATGGGTATGTCTCGCTGTAAGATGAGCACACACTGATTGTACTTTTAAGACAATAAGATTGGCAAAGCTATAAGAATGTTAAAAAAATCATTTGGAACTCTCTGCTGTTGGTTTATGTTTGAGTTTGTGCTTCTATTTATTCTCCTTTGAAGGATGCTGGTAATGACAAACAATTTTCTGCCAGGATTTGATATACTACATTCAAATTGTTTACATTTTCATTATTTTTTATCACAATGTGTCAGTGGCACATAATAAAAGAAAAACCCATTCAGACCAAGAAGGTTTTTTCATTACCAAACTTTATTCTTTGTTATTGTTCTCTTTTGCCCATCTCCACCCAACCTCAGCTCCCTCCCCAGGCCTTCACCACACTGTCCTTGGGATATGCATATATGTTATTTGGCTAATATCTTCACCTTCTTTTATCCAGTCCCCCCACACACACACTCCCCCCCGCTCTGACAACTATCAGTCTGTTCCACATTTCCATGTCTCAGGTTCTATATCGTTTGTCAGTTTATTTTGTTCATTAGATTCCATCAGTCTGGACAACTTGTGTAAAAACTGCATTCCATGCTGGGCCTGAAACATCCCAAAGCTCAATTTTGTGATTAAATTGTGACTAAGATTCAGATGTTGCAAGAAAGGTAGTGATCCAAATGTATTCCTTTCAATAAATTCTATTTTATTGCAGGATAAGTCCAAATACTGGAGAGACTGCAGGCCTTCAAATGAATCCTTATGCAATTCTCTCAAATTATTTCCACTGAGAATTAGTTTCTCAACCAAATGGTATGACTTCCATGTGTCTTTACCAATGTAAGAAATAGAGTTTCCTTGCAAGTTTAAGACAGTAAAAGTGCCACTGTAGGTGTTGGGCTCTGGCACGGGCACTCTGTCGAGTCTCCTGTCTGGGCTGAGACCAATACATGAAAGTGTTCCATTACTGCAGGTACAGAGCTCACATAAGTTCATGGTGGCACTCTGTTCAGTCACTGGAGGAACTGTTTCTGACGACTCTCGTTGCTGAGTTTTGACAACTTCCGGGTCCACAGACTGGACTGTGACTCCGGACAACATTGGCTGCTGAGCCAGAAGAGGCTCCGGAAGTGCCGCCTCAGAGGGCTTTGGGGAAGTTGCAGTCTGCTGGGGGGCTGTGGCATCAGCTTCCAAAGTAGGTTCAGGAGTGACGGTCAGCTCCAGGTCCAACGGTTGAAATGTGGCTTCAGACAATGTTGGCTGCTGAGCCTGAACAGGCTCTGGACGTGGAAGTGCCACCTCAGGGGGCTTTGGAGGAGCTGTAGTTCGCTGCAGGGCTGTGGCATCAGCCTCCGAAGTAGGCTGAGTTGGGGTCTCCTGCTGGGATGGAGGCTTGAGCTCGTCTGTGAACTTTGGAGGATGAACTGAGACCTTGTCAGCTGCAGATGGTTCCATCTCTGTAGGGGGCTCTGAAGGTATCAAAACCCCCAGATCCACAGCTTTAACATTGATAACAGGCAACACTGGATGCTGAGCTTCACCCAAACCGAGAGGTGAGACGGTCGCCTCCTGATGTACTGAAGGTTGAGCTATGACATCCATAGAGGATTTCCGGGGCTGAGCTCGACACTTCTGAGGGACTGGAGAAGAGTGTGCACCTGCCAGACACACGGGAGTGGGGGCTGAGCTCTTCTGCTGGATGGAAGATTGAACACATTCAGGGTAGAGTGGAACTCCTTGGTGGACTAACAACACTTTCAACGGCTCAGAGGACACAGTAGACTGAGCTTGGGCGTCATGTTGGGGTGGAAGCTGAGCTGAAGCATCCTGGGCGTTTGGAGAAGCTTCCCTTGTCTCGGGGGCCTCTGGAGGCAGAGCTGAGGCTCCCTGTTGGAATGACGGAAGTTCATCGTCTTCAGATATACTTATAGGGTTTTGCTGATCCCAAGACCAGGGCTCGATGGGCCCCGGGGGAATGGAGGTCAGCAGGGCAGGGTCCAGGGCCGGAGGCTGAGCCGCCTGGATTTGCAGCCACATCAGCTGCCATGTGAACAGGAGCCGTGAGGCCCAGAGGTGCAACCCAGACATGACAGGCATAGGTCCGGGGCACAGCGATCCTCCCAGGCAAAGGAGGTGATGGCACTACACGCTGAGTAGGAGCCCAACAATTGGCAGCCACGTCACAATTGGTAGCTAGGCCATGTATGCGCCACTTAGCAACCAAGCACCCCTCCCCCGCCTCAGGTTCCAACCTTTATTTAGGTAAGCTTTATTCGTCTTGGGCTGAGAGCGACTTCAGAAGAGCGAGCCTTCTTAGTAGAATCACCAGGGACCAAGTGGTCCTTTTCCCCTGAATAAAAGACAGCTACCTCTCCCAGGGTCTCCCCTCCCTCCTCACTGTGAGGCAGGATTTGAGCTGCATACCTGGGTGGCCCAGAGTCCAGCAGCCCAGGAACAGTGACATGGGGGGTGGGGGAAGGTGCTGTTGTGCTTCCCAAGGAAGCCACAGGGCCTGTCATCCCAGGAAATTCAAAAGTGCTAATCGAGCTCTGGCAATCTGAACTCTCCTCACAGTTGCAACCTGAGAGGCAGTCTTCCTCCTCTTGGCCATACTGCTTCCAGGAAAAGTAGATAACCTACAAAATGAACAGTTAGGGTGGTGGGGAGGGAGACACACTTTACAGTTCTAAAATGTTGCCATTTTCTCAAAATTCTCAGTATCCATGTCTGATTCTTTTTTTTTTTTTTAAATCCTCACTCAAGGATATGTTTATTGATTTTAGAGAGAGAGGAAGGGGTAGAAGCGGGGAAAGACAGAGATAAACATAATGAGTGAGAAACATCAATCAGTTGCCTCCCCTACCCACCCCAACCGGCAACTCCTTGGTGCATGGGACCATGCTCCAACCAACTGAACCACCTGGCCAGGGCTCCATGTCTGATTCTGAATTCACCACTGCATTGCACCGGGGCTGCCACTGAATCAGTGATGACTCCAAAATGTAGGCAGATGGAGTTTTGCAGGGTGAGGAATTCATTCTGGGATAGGGGGTCTCAAATCAAGTGAGTAACTCTTCACAGTGGTGTGGGAAAACGTCCCCCTCCCACCTTGGCTCCCCACAGCCATTATTCTAGAAATGGAGCAATGCCACTGTTCTGAGGTCTACCCTGTGAGCACAAATGGAGAAGATATTCAGACTGTTAAAGCCAGAATGTTAAATCATTTTTTAAATACTGTAACTGGCACCTAACTTGCTTCCTTCACAGCCCTTTTTATATTTTATTCTATATTTTATTTATTCCATTCTCCTTGCTTATTGTCTAGCACAACCTCCAGCATGTAAACTCCAAGAGAGAGGGGGCTGCATCTTATTCCCAGTGTCTAACACATAATAATGGGTTTAAATGGAACTGATTCCAAGATTGGCCTCATATAGGAGGATTTCTTGTCATAACCAGGTTTCTGAAATCTTGAGCATCAATACGAAATCCTTTCCTCACATATTTCACAGGAAGACAGATTTCTAAAAGCCCAGGATAATAACAGAGCTTTTGCTTTCTCATCAGAGGTTCCAAATTTCAAAATTTCAGCTAAGTATTCTCAGAAGCCCCACACAAATTAAATGCAAGAACTATCCTATTTCAACTATGATTTAAATTTTTTAAATTAGCAAATATGTAATTTCATTTTTAAATTAAATTTATTGGGGTGACATTGGTTAATAGGATCATATAAGTTTCAGGTATAGATTTCTATGATACAAGATCTGTGTATTGCACCATGTGCCCACCACTCGAACTCAGATCTTCTTCTGTCACCATATATTAGCCCTGCTTCACCTCCCTATCCCCACCCGCTTCCCTTTGGCAGCCACCACACTGTTGTTTGTGTCCATGAATTTCAGTCTTATATCCCACATATGAGTGAAAGCATATGGTTCTTAGCCTTTTCTGACTGGTGTATTTCACTTCGCATAATATTCTCAAAGTCCGTCCATGTGGTTGCAAATGACAGTACTTCATCTTTTCTTACGGCTGAGTAGCATTCCATTGTGGATGTGTACCACATCTTTTTCCAGTCCTCTATCACAGGACACTTAGGTTACCTCTATGTGTGGGCCACCATGAATAATGCTGCAATGAACACAGGGGTGCATATATCTTTGTGAATACATGTTTTTGAGTTTTTTGGGTACATACTCAGGAGAGGGATTGCTGGTTCATAGGGTAGCTCTATTCTTAATTTTTTGAGGAACCTCCATACTGTTTTCCATACTGGCTGTACCAGTCTGCAGTCCCACCAGCAGTGAATAAGAATTCCCTTTTTTCTACAACCTTTTCAACACTTGTTATTACTTGTCTTTTGACAATAGCCATTCTAATAGGTGTGAGATGGCATCTCACTGTAGTTTTGATTTGCATTTCCCTAACTGCTAGTGAGGTTGAACGTCTTCTCATATATCTATTGGCTATTTGTATGTCTTCCTCGTAGGACCTGGGAGACTCAGGTCCTCTGCCCATTTTTAATTGGGTTGTTTGGTGTTGAGTTTTATGAGTTCTTTATGTATTTTGGATATTAAACCTTGTTGGATCTATTGTTTGCAAATATCATCTCCCGTCTGGTTGGCTGACTTTTTGTTTTGTTGTCAGTTTCCTTTGCTGCGCAGAAGCTTTTTAGTTTGATATAGTTCCATTCATTTATTTTTGTCTTACTTCCCTTTCCTTTGGGGTCAAATTCATAAAATGTTCTCTATGACCAAGATCCATAATTGTGTACTTACGTTTTCTTCTATGTAATTCATTGTTTCAGATCTTATATTTAGATCTTTGATCCACTTTGAATTAATTTGTGTACATGGGACAAACTATAATCTAGCTTCATTCTTTGGCATATGACTTAATAATTTTTCCAGCACTATTCATTGAAGTGGCTTTCTTTACTCTATTGTGTATCACTGGCTCCTTTATTGAAAATTATCTGCTCATATACATGTGGTTTTATATCTGGGCTCAACACATGAATTTTGTGGGGACACAAATATTCAGCCTATAACATCTCCCTTTTCTTTTCAGTTGACAAGTTCTGCCATGTCTTTTTTTGTTTTTGTTTTTGTTTTTTTTTGTGATAATGCATTCATCAGTTTCTTCCTTTTCAGTCTGATTACAAACACTTGAACTCAGGACCCTTATTATGTCATGCCTGGGCTGTTGCAATAGCTTTTCAGTGGCGGTTGCCTTCTCTGATAAGAAGACTTTTCTGATGTCCTGTATGTTTCTCTGTATTTCACTCTGACAACACCCTGTATTTCTCTTAGACCACTTACCACTCTGTATTACAATCTCCTTTATCCTGTTCTATCTCACTGGCTACACTCTGAGATTATTGAGGGCAAGGAAACTGTGTTTCATCTCTATTGTTTGGTGATTGACATAAAATAGGTGCTCCATAAATACTGGGAAAGGAAAAGAAAGTCACAGAGAAGTGATAGAGAAAGAGAGGTAGGGAGAATAGAAACCATAGTAAGGGCTTTAAGTCCTTGATCAGATTCTCCCAAAAGCAGAGCCCAAGTTTAGGATTGAGTGAGGGCATCTAGTTTATCTGGGAAGGGTTAAGGATATTCACATTGGGCTGGGAGGTGGTACAGGAAGGAAAGAGAAGGCAGACAATTAAGGATGCATTATTAAGGCAGCAAGCACTGTGGGTGATGAAATGATGTGGGTTAGGGGAAGCTCTTGGAAACCAGGTAAAGCACTGACTCCAACCCAAGGGTGGAGGGAGCTGGCGTGATTTACCCCCACACCCTTCAGGAACTGTTAGGGGCTACTCCCAGGTGCCGGAGTCCAACCCCAGCAGGTCCAGGGGTCCCCAAAGGTGTGGATGGAGTCGGCGAAGAAGGAATGACACAGAGACAGCTTTCAGTTGATCAGCAGCCTAGCCAGGATCTCTAGCCAGGATCTCCAGCCAAGTTCTGGTCTGGATCTCCAGCGAAGTTCTGCTTAGGATCTCCAGCCAGGTTCTGTGTCCATGTTCTCTTGCTAGGTTCTCCAGCCAGGTTCAGTCACCAGGTTCTAGTCAGGTTCTCTTGCCAATTTCTGTAGTCAGGTTCAGTCTCTAGGTTCTTCAGCCAGGTTCTCTCGCTAGGTTCTGTCTCTAGGTTCTGTGGCCAGTTTTTGTCCAGGATCTTTTGCCATATTCTCTCCAGCGAAGTTCTTCTGTCTCTAGGTTCTGTGTAGGTTCTGTGTCTAGGTTCTGTGTGTAGGTTCTGTCTTCTCTTGGTTCTGTCTTCTAAATTCTGTCTTGTTACATCTGTATTTATACCAGTTGATTCCAATCCTATCAATCTCTATTCCAAAGGTTAGGGCGTTTCTTATCTCCATTCCAGGGAGTAAAGATTATGTAGCTTAAGCATGGTTGTTCATAGTTAAAGTGATTAATTACCCGCCTGGCACTTAATTAAGAGGTTTTATTCCCTCCCTAACTTCAGGGGAAAAACCCTACCTGGGGAAACAACCTTTCTCAGAGAGGTGACCTTGGTTAAAACACATAGTGCCAAGAAGGTGAACAAACATATCAAGAACAGTATGCCATATATGCCAGGTCCCTTGAAACAGCAAGGATGGACCGGCTCCCGGCACCCAGGAGCACTTTAATTCTCAGGTGTTTTCAGTCTGATGTGCAAAAGTGCTGGATGTTGGAAGTCAGGCTGGCATGGGTGGAAAAGGATCCCAGGAGATCTGAGTAAAGAATTGACAACATCTGCTATATTCAGAGACTAAAAAGAAATTTCTTCAAGTTCTGTCCAAGAAAAAGAAAGAAGTGGGTTAAAGTATGGAAACTTGGCATACTCTGGTGCATCAGTTAACAGATTTTAGGCTTTTATATTCAAAGAATCTATTTTACAATGGCAGGAATCAGTCCAAGGCTAATTTAAGGAGATACACCATCATTACCTACACCTAAACTTCACCAATATCAAATTTCCTTGGAGATGGTCACCTGATTCAATTAGAATCCTTAGAGCAATTAGTATGTAAAACAGAAAAAAGAGAAAGTATAGTTCTATGGTTCAGGAAGAGGCTTGCAGAGG